ATGGTGGTGAGAAAGACCCGAAAACGGTTGGCTAGGATGCCAAAGGCATTTTCTACCACCCTCCGAGCCCGCGACAGCCTGTAGTTGAAGATGCGTTGCTCTACAGCTAGCCTGCGGTTCGGATAGGGCTTCATCAGGTGCTCCTTCAGGGGAAATGCCTCATCTGCCACAATGGAGTAACAAATCGCCTGGCCAGACGCTGTGTTTGTTAGTTTATATCACTCAGTCTGTTCTTCTTCTCTTGGTGTATAAAAGGCAGTCTGTCTTCCGGTTGTTGCCTCTTTTGAATGACGAATACACACTACCGCTGCCTGCTGGTAAGGACAGTTATTGCCACTCGTCGACTGAAGTATTTGCGGTGTGTTCGTAGGTGGGTGGCGTAGCGGGCGATGTAGCCGACGCAGCCGACGCAGGCGACGAAGCTGACGTAAAAGTCGGGACGCCTTCGGTACGCGTTCTTTGGTCTCAGGTGGGTGTGTAGCGGCCTTTAGAGTCAAAAACCCTCAAAGTACACCCTGTAGCGAGTAAAACTCTAACACAGTCTATGCTGCCCCAAAACGCCTCGTTGGAGATTTCTCATTTTCCATTGTTTACTTCCTGGGTTCTGTGACGTGTGAATAACCAGAGGCCATACCCTCTGCCATGCATTTCACGAAACAAAGCTTCACAAACCTTTCAACGATTCATGCCGGATATGTACAGCGTAGGGCACTGAAGAACGATGCTGTTCCTACTTTGTTTGGACCAGCAGGAGATTCGGGTACACAACCTGTAAGTATTCATTGTTGTTTGTGTATTTATGATGTTTAAAACAAACAAGGTATCTACCACGACTGTTTAAATGGATAAACGTTTTTCGGGCTGCTAAGTTGGGATTGCGGAGAAATGCTCTCCGCAGACCCATTCTCACAGCGTTATAAACCTTTTTCTTACTCAATATCAAGCCACACTTATTGTTTTTACTTCGGCTGTGAGTGTTTGTGTGTGCTCAGGATGAGTTTCGCTGTGTCTCGCTGTATCGCCGACCCGGAAGCCTGTCCGCTCCTCACAGCAGATCGCAGCAACGAGCCTCGCAACTTCCCGACCAATCAGAGCACACTGTGCTCACAGGGAGGGGGGGGGCAGGAGCTCCAACAAGCCGTTTAGGACAGAGAGTGAATACCGGTGAATACACATACTTTACAGAGATGCTGTATGAGAAACCAATGTGAGTTTGGAAAATTGCACAATTTAAATCTATTCTAGTAGACCTCAACAATGGAATTATGATCAGTAGAAATGGCCATGACATGGGCCTTTTAACAAACTTAAATAAAACTGATTTTCAATGCAATATATTCTGATAAGTGACATATTACATTAGTACAGCGCCAATCACGCAGTTATGTAATGTAAAAGGTATTAATAACACAGAATTGAGCACCAAATAGTAATAAACACAAAGGAACTCACTGGATAAACGTGTAGTGATCTACATGAAGTGCAACTTCCAAAGAAATGTGATCAAGATCATGGTTCGAGGGCTTGTATAAGAAATTCAGTCCAGCGTAAACAACAGACGTTGTTTATGTTGGTGATGTCATTTGGTATAAGCGGCTAAGAAAAGGAAAAAACTCAGTCCAAAAGCTTCAACTAGCAATTCTGTGACAGCTTAGTGTGAATGTATTTTCTGTAGTTTCATTAAATCACCCACATATTTTGTTCATATGACCTTACAAATATGTTTATCTACTTGACAGTGCTTTGACTGCTTGAAAAAAACAAACAGAAGAATTAATGCTCCTCTCTTTGGGTAAGGAAATATGAATGATGCTTTATTTATGAGGCTCGGTCAGAAAGACAATATAAACCTGTTCACCTTAAGTATTGAGGCATACACATGTAGCATGAATTGCTTGTAGCTACTTTTCAAATGAATACTGAAATATGTATTGATAAATCATAGCTCAAAATGATAAACACATTCATTTGTATAAAATGTAGGGGACTACACTTCAATTATCAGGAATTAATACCTAAATATGTACAATGTGGTTGTGTCATAAAGACTTTGAAAAAAAAGGGAACATCAATGTTGATGCTGGGAGCTAATTTGTTACTCACTGTGTGGTCGTGGAAGAAACTGGTCAGCACATTTCACTGTGTCTGAAACATAAATCTTCTCAAATCTCTTTTATGATGTGATCAACGTGATGTTGTGTGTATAAAAACTCTGGTTTATTGTTGTCCTTAAACAGACCCCACTAATCAGAAGCGGTATTCGGTCTCACACGGGGCACCAGTATCATGATTTGCTTGTAGCAGATAATAATAACTAAAACCAAAATATGTATTTATAATTGACAACTCAAAACTAATCAAGTAATCAACTTTTAAACCGGCTGAGGTGGATCTGAGGGACCGGGGGGGGGTTGGTAGAGGATGAGGAGGTCAGTGAGGTAGGGGGGGGGGGGCAGATGGTTGAGGGCTTTGTAAGTGAGGACCAGGAGTTTGTAGTGGATGCGGTGAGAAACGGGAAGCCAGTGGAGTTCTTTGAGGACCGGGGTGATGGGATGCCATGATTTGGTGTGGGTGAGGAGTCTGGCGGCTGCGTTCTGAACACGCTGGAGTCTATTGAGGGATGTAGTGCTGATGGCGTAGCGGAGTGAATTACAATAGTCAAGGCGGGAGGAGATGAAGGCGTGAATGAGTCGCTCAGCTGCAGGGTGGGTGAGAAAGGGACGGAGTTTGGCAATATTGCAGAGGTGGAAAAATTAGATTTTAACAACTTGGCGGATGTGGGGCTCGAGGGAGAGGGTGGGGTCAAATATTACTCCAAGGTTGCGTGCCTGGGTGGATGGGGAAAACATCGATGGTGAGTGTCAGGTTGGGGGTTTTGCTGAGGGTGGATTTGGAGCCGATGAGGAGGAGTTCAGTTTTATTGCTGATGAGTTTGAGGAAGTTGTGTGCCATCCAGGTTTTTATTGCAGTCAGACTGGAGTCGATGTGGGTGAGGGGGGGAGTTGTGGGGGGATTTGGTGCTGAGGTAAATCTGGGTGTCGTCGGTGTAACAGTGAAAGTCAAGGTTGTAATGGCGGAGAATCTGACCAAGGGGGAGGATGTAGATGATGAAGAGGAGGGGGCCGAGTACTGAACCTTGGGGAACACCTTGGGTGACTGAAGCTGTGGCAGAGGACTGGTTGTTGAGGGAGATGAAGTGGGATCTGTCGGAGAGGTAGAACTGGAGCCACCTGAGTGCAGTACCTTTGAGGATTCTTTCTGCACCACCATTTTTAACAACAGTATTTGATATATTTGTCCTTCTTGTTCAGTACTACCACCGTGGTCGCGGTCATATACATGAGTCTTAACTCCACTGCTGTCAATTTATTTCATGAAAGTATGAATATCAAAATCATCATTGTATTCTAAAGTAATTCGAGCTGTCTTTTACATGTTGCATGGTAACAGTCAGCATCTACCTGACAGCAATACATTACAACAAAAATGAGCACTGAAGAAAATTAAATATATCAGAATTTTAAAAGGAGGACATTTGTGAAGTGTTCCAATATCATTAGAGCTCACTTACCCTTAATGAAATGTACTAAATGTCTTTAAATGGTTGAGTCTGATGGTCAATGTGTTAGAGTTGGCAGCCCTGCAAAAACATATTTCCCATACAAAGTTATTCTGAGCACTTCATGCAGTGTTAATACAATGCATGGAGTGCTGAGCATTATGGCGCAGTTCCACTACAGCGCGGAGCTCGCTTTAAGCGTGCCGTGTCGTGCCGTACCCGTTTTTGGTTGCGCTTCCACTAGGCCTAGTAACGGCCCGGCCCGGCCCGGGGCCACTTTTTCACCTCTTTTCTGGCCCGACAAAATTGTGGTTCTATCGGGGCCAACAAACAGGGCTGAGTCGGGCTGAGTATGCTAAACTAGAGAGAGGAGCGCTGGCAAGAGGGCTCCAACTACAACAAGATGGACATATTTGACCGTGATTTAATTGTAATACACGTTTCAAAATGATGCCGAAGTAACAACATACTGATACCGGTTAGTAAAAACCATGAATTAATGCTTTGTCAAGTCTGCAGACAGACGGCAGGCGAAAAACCTTTTAAAATTCGTGTTTTTCTAGATGGAGATTGGCTAAGCTAACGCAGTATATGCCCCGACCGTCCACACTCACAACAACGGCCTATACAGACATAAATAAAGCAGCGACTGTATTCACCATGACACAGGCAGTCTGTGGTGTGTACTTGTTTAACTTTTGTCGAGTTTCTGAACATATATAAGGAGCTGTGAGCTCTGAGTGCTAACAGCTAACGGCTGTGTTGTGTTTTCTGGAGTTCTCATTGAAGATGACGTCACGGCTCCGCCTACACTGCGTTACTATAGTAACTACCCCAGTTCCTAAACTGTAATGGAAGCGCAGCATGAAGTGAGTCGGCCCTGTTAAGGCCCAACGCGGCCAAGCCGTACCGAGCCGTACCGAGCGTGGCCGAGGCCGACCGTGTAGTGGAAATGCGGCATTAGATGCAGTACCATCTTTCATTAAATACTGTTACCTACCTATATCTTGTGCAGTGGTCTTTGGTATGCCAGTACTCTTTTTCTTGTATACACACATCAATTTGATCATTTCATGTTCATACAGACGACGGAGACTCTATTGTGTTTTGGCGCTGTCTATAACACTGGGTCAAGTGTTGTTGTTTTTTTTGTTTTTTTCAATAAACCTGGAAAAGTCTGATTTAAAATAAGAGTTTTTTTAGATAGCAGAACAGTTACAGTAGAAACAGTTACAGACAATAACATTTCAATAGTACACCAAAAATAGTAGAATTAGGAAATAGTAGCATACACTCTGTTCCCTTTTCTTCTTTGGGTGGGGTTCTTTATTTTGAAAAAAAAACTATTTTACAGTTTAGCACAAAATGAAACTGTTGCAGACAGGGTATTTCGTTTATTAACAACGTCTTGCAAGAATGTCAAACTTTACTACAAATTGTCGTTATGGAAACATACAGGAGTTCCATTTAAGACTTATGTAACAAAAACAGAACGTTTTGATTGAAGATATAAGTAAAAGGTTCAAAGCAGGAGCCATAACCGCAAAGCAGATAAAGAGAAGTATCACCCAGCCACTGCTGCAGAAAACTCTCACACAATTTAACCTCTATACTTGTAATACAGTGATGACTATAATAAGGGAAATAAGGATCATGATGGAAACCAGGACTGTGGCCAAGATGTTGAGGCAGCGAGCGGTGGAGCCGTAGTGTCGGGCTCCTTCCATATCTCCAACCACCTTCCGGTCTCTGGCCTGAAAGGACCAAAAGCACATTGATTTCAAATTGGATTCTTAGCTTTACTTAAAGGTGGGGTAGGTAATTTTGGAGAAACCAGCTCGAGTGTGCTAGAATTTGAAAATACACAGCCGGAGAAAATCTGCCACTTCCTTACAGAGCCCCTTCTCCAACACACACGAACGTGCACATGACCAATGAGTGCACGAGATAAGTTTGTGCACAGATGGAAGGCTGACAGGCAGGTAGGCCATCCAGTTATTTTAGCTGGGCCGGCTAAAATGATTGGTCGTGCTTTTTACAGTACTACGGCTTCCACAGATGAAATTCTTTTATGGATTTTTTGTCAAAGCACTTAAGATATTCATTGCTATCGGGATGGTAAGAGCATTCCATGGAATATAACAAAAAGTGTATCTCGAGCCGGTTTCTCAAACTTACCTACCCCACCTTTAACCCCTAAGAGCCTTAAATGTCGAAAATTGGCTCAATCAAATGCTTACGAATGCGACAGGTGTTCTTACTTTTAGTTGACGGAGCATTTTTACTTTACACGACACTATTCAACACTTAATTCTGCTTCACTCTTTAACTAAACAACCGCGGATGTCTTGAAAGACTCTTTCGCTAAAGATTTTGAAGACATCCGCGTTCTTGTGACCAGTGTCCGGTTGTTTAGTTCACTTAAGTGGTCTCGGACTTTGTTTACACCGACCCAAATGAACTGCACCAAGCGGGTAAACGCACCAGGGTTCGATTCAACCGGACTAAACAAGGCTGGTGTGAATGCGACCTTAAACTCTTTTTTTACTATTCTTTGCCATAACAGAATATTTCCCTGAATGAAACTCACCTTGATGGAGAAGATGAGAGCCGCCAGTCCCAGGCAGCAGGGGTTTGAGTAGAAAAAGCAGCAGAGGGACCAGATGATGTGGTCCCTGGGTGGCTCAAGGGGGATGTTCACAGTGATGCATTGATCCCCTGCAGATCCTCCAGGCTGTCCATGAAACCTTTCGAATCTCCCCTGCAATGGGACATTGTCAGATGGGTAGCCTTCAGAATTCATCTCTGTGAAATACAGTTTGAGATGCGGCCAGCAGGAAAGTTGTGCAACGACTCAAATGTCTGTCAGTGTGGCTTTCCTTTTGAAACTTTCTTGGGGTTGGCACACAGGATTTCTATGCCAGCATAATCCAATGAGATAAAAGCATACGTAACACACTGGGATTGGCTGTTGCTGCACAGGGAACCTGTTTGCTTTCTTCCCCATAAGGACCCACCGTGACACAGCGTCACATGACATTTAAATGGAGAGTTCCTTATACAGCTTTAGCCTTGTTTTTATTTCATGAGTGACACAAACTGAACATTCTGGTGAGTCATGGGCCAGGTCATGTGATTTTGTGTTCACATAACAACATGTCCAAGATTGTTTTTTTGTTGCTGAAAGTAAAATGTAAGCCATTTAAGAATTAAAACCCTGCTGAAAAAACCAGCTTCGACCAACTTCGCTGGTCAGGCTGGTTTAGAGGGGTTTTGGACACTTTAGCTGGCCAGGATGGTTTAGCTGGTGCACCAGCTAAACCATCTAAACCAGCTAAACCAGCTAAACCAGCCATCCTGGCCAGCTAAAAAAAACAGCATCGACCAGCATAGTATGCTGGTATGCTGGGCTGGTCACCAGCATCCATCTATCACCAGTTTATGTTTAATAATAGTATTAAATATACCATGCTGGAGGCTTACCAGGATTCCAGGTGACCAGCATACATTGTTTAAATACTGGTATGATTATTTAAACTAGAGAATATAAATATATTACAAAGATTCATTGTGTCATGTATTCTGGTATCAACCAAAATAAAGACATTGTATAGTGTTCATAACAGTATTTTAATTTAATAAATAGCAATAAATAGCTTATAATAAAATACACAGTAACAATACAAATAACAACCAACCTGCAAATCAACCTACACATCAAAATAAATATATTATCTAAAACCGGTGCATTTGATTTAAAATAAAAGTAATAAATACAATTCAATATTTAAATGGTAACAAAAACAGTAACACTATGTATGATAAGAAAAAGGCAACAAAGTTTGTTTTTGTTTTTTCCTTGTTCATGTCCATAATGTTTCCCGTTGTGTAGCGTCCAGCCTTTCCCAATCTGGCCTGCGTTTCTGTCTGTTGAAGCCACTTCTTGAAGCAAACTGAAAAGAAATGTACAGCTATAAGTACACTGTAAAAAGAAAACTTGACATTTACGTTAACATTTGGGCTGCTGTGGTTGCCAGAACCGTTAAAGTATGGTAAAATACATTACAAATTACAGTTGGTTGGCATAGACGTTACAGTCAACAATTGCTTATGGTGAATTACAATGGCAAAAACAAATAGAGCTAGTGCAGCTGTATTATCTGGGAAATAGAAGATCGGATCAGGATTCGGTATTGGCAGACAATCAATATCAAATTAATCGGATCATTATTAGCATCAGCACTTGATCACCTTTGTCGACTTGCAGCCTAAATACAAAGATAACTCCACTCCTCTTCTACCACTGCTTACCTCTAATGAGCCTTGGTAGAACCAGTGTCCGAGTCATGGGGTCCAGAACTGACTGAAGACATGTGGAACAGAGTACAGGCATGGTTCGATGTACAGGGAACTGGAACTTTGAACAGGTGTTTTCATCTTTTCTGCCTGAAGATTCACAAGTTCTTGATCAGGTGTTTGATGTGGGCTGGCATGATCCTTTCTGCAGCGATAAATAAAGAAAACAAAGAAAACATTTATAATAGTAATGATGGTAACAACAATAATATTAGTATAACTATTTATATAGCACTTACACAATTGCAAAGTGATTCTCACAACAAAAATAAAGAACAAAACAATACCAACAATAAAAAAACAAATTATTATAGGAATGTTAAGAGACAAAGAAATGCTAAATATTCTGAGAGGCCGACTACAAAAGGTAGACTCAATGGCTCTTGATGACATCAATGAGCAGTCTCAATAGATGCTTATTGTTTTTAATTTTGTGATGTATATTACTATTTTCAATAATATATTGTATATATAAATATATTTGTGATTTTTTTCTACAAAACATCTGACAGTTAATGTAAACTTGGGCTTTTGCAAAGTAAAATGACATGTTTTCTTTGTGTTTTACATGTAAATGGTCTTATATTTCGTGAAGTTTGCTGACGACACGACCATCATCGGCCTGATCACCGACGGCGACAAGACGGCGTACAGAGAGGAGGTCAAAAACCTGACATCTTGGTGTCAGGATAACAACCTCCATCTCAATGTCAGCAAAACCAAGGAGCTGATTGTGGACTACAGGAAGCAGCAGAGAGAGGGACACGCCCCCATCGCCATCAATGGGACTACGGTGGAGAGAGTCAGCAGCTTCAGGTTCCTCGGTGTCCACATCACTGAGGACCTGACATGGACTCATCACTGAGGACCTGACATGGACTCATCACACAAACACCATCACCAAAACAGCTAGACAGCGGCACACATTTGTATTAGTCAATTTATTGAACATGTTAGAAACAAAACAAACAATAATAATAATTCAAGGTTCAAGGTATAAAAAAAATGTATTGTCAAAGTTTCTATCATGTTCAAAAGGGGCTTTGAAGAAGCTTAAAAACTTTTCTGGTCCAACAGATTTGGTTTCTAAATAAGAGTTTTAGTTTAGATAAAGTTGCACAGTATTTCAGCTCGTCATTACAGTTATTCCACAGATGAACACCTTCTGTTGTGATGCAATGAAGTTTGGAATTTGTTCGTATGGGTGGTTTTAAAAAAATGCAGTTTCCTCTCAACATGTGTATGTTTTCTCTCCGTGTGAAAAGTCCCTGGACATTATGAGGTAATTGTTCCGCAGGCTGAGGAAGTTCAACATGGACTCCAGGATACACTGCATCTTCTACAGATGCACCATAGAGAGTATCCTGATTGGCTGCATCACGGCCTGGTACGGCAGTGCAATCATATTCCATTGACTTGCATATAGACTCTTCTTGGACTATTTCTATACTATTTTATTTGTATTTACTTGCACTATTTTATCTGTTTTATTTGTTCTATGTTCTATATATATGTTGCACTGTTGGAGGAGCCTGTGACTTCAGTTTTTCATTGCCATGTCTACACTGAAGCTAATGTACAATGACAATAAAGCCTTGAATCTTGAATCTTGAATTTATGGTATTTTTAAAAATGACAACAGTAATCTTCTGTCTTTAAGCTTTTTTTGATCATTTAAAAAAATATTTAAATAGTTTTTTTAGAGGTGTATGACTCTATTCTAACAATTAATATATGTTAAAAGAAAAAGATTTAATGGAATTATAAAAACATTTCTTGTAAAATTACAGATTCTTTTGGCAAAAAATGTGATAGTTAATGTAAACTAAGGCTTTTAGAAAGTAAAATGACGTTCTTTTCTTTGTGTTTTACTATACGGTACTTTTTTGTCATACAGAAAAAGTCATTTTCTGTATTTTAGCTTTTCTTTATCATTTTTAAAGATAATTATTCTGTTTTCTAGAGGTGTATGACTCTATTCTAACAAATAATATATGTTAAAAGAAAAAGATTTCATGTAAAATACAGTAATAGAGGCTACTTGTGGTAAGGTAAGTTACTTTCTTTTTTACATGTTATCTCCGTATTTTATTTTACAGTTTTTTTCTTTTTTTAACGGACATTTTCTGGCGCCCCCGTCCGTTTTTTTACTCTTTTTCTTCATATTCATACAGATGACGGAAACTATTGTGTTTTGGCGCTGTCTATAACACTGGGTCAAGTTTTTTCGTTTTTTTCAATAAACCTGAAAAAGTCTGATTTAAAATAAGAGTGTTTTAGCTGAGATAGCAAGACAGTTACAGTAGAAACAGTTACAGACAATAACATTTCAATAGTAAACCAAAAATAGTAGAATAAGGAAATAGATACACTCCGTTCCCTTTTCTTCTTTGGGTGGGGTTCTTTATTTTGAAAACACCATCTTTTACAGTTTAGCATAAAATGAAACTGTTGCAGACAGGGTATTTCGTTTATTAACAACGTCTTGCAAGAATGTCAAACTTTACTACAAATTGTCATTATGGAAACATGCAGGAGTTCCATTTAAGACTTTTGTAAAATAAGTAAAAAGTTCAAAGCAGGAGCCATAACCGCAAAGCAGATAAAGAGAAGTATCACCAAGCCACTGCTGCAGAAAACTCTCACACAATTTAACCTCTATAATTGTTATTGAAGCCAGTGTAGCTTTGGGCGGCCTGCTTTGCCAGAACAATTACAGTGATGACTATAATAAGGGAAATAAGGATCATGATGGAAACCAGGACTGTGGCCCAGATGTTGAGGGAGCGAGCGGTGGAGCCGTAGTGTCGGGCTCCTTCCATATCTCCAACCACCTTCCGGTCTCTGGCCTGAAAGGACCAAAAGCACATTGATTTCAAATTGGATTCTTAGCTTTACTTAACCCCTAAGAGCCTTAAATGTCGAAAATTGGCTCAATCAAATGCTTTAGATTCAGGTTTTGCTATATGTTCATGCTTCCAACGGGATAACTTCAAGTTTTGAGCACATATCTAGAATCTTTGAGATTAAGATTCCTTTTCCCCCAGCTGCCCGTCCTCTGAATGATTCTTATCATGGACTAAGTGAGGGATGTTATTTTTCTGTCTGAAATAAACCTTTGTAATCTCTCCTTTGTATGAAATGGGGCGAAGCCTGCGAGATAGTTCAGGCAGTCAACTCGAGCACCAATCATACATTAACACGTGACACACCTCGTCCTTCTTACAACCAACCAAACACATTCTCCTAAACATGCCGCTCTATTTAAGCTGCCAGGTCTTCCTGCCTCTGCCTCGCTAATGCTGCTGCTGCCACTGCTGTGTTCACTTGCTATTGCTACGTTCATGTTCCTGCTGCTGTGTTTCATGTTGCTGCTGCTCGCCTGCCCCACCACCACCCCAGCTTCCACCCCAGCTTCCACCTGTAGGCTCGGGGGATAGTTATCTAATCATCACTTAATGTTCTTTGTAAATCTGTGGAGTGATGAGGCCCGAGCCTAGATGCCAAACTCAAACTATATGCT